CAGAAGAGGGCACCAGACCTCATTACAGATGGTTGTGAGCCACCATGTGGTTGCTGGGAATTGAACTCAGGACCTTTGGAAGAACAGTCAATGCTCTTAACCGCTGAGCCATCTCTCCAGCCCCAATAAAACATTTTTTTTTTTCGAGACAGGGTTTCTCTGTAGTTTTGGTGCCTGTCCTGGAACTAGCACTTGTAGACCAGGCTGGCCTCGAACTCACAGAGATCCGCCTGCCTATGCCTCCCGAGTGCTGAGATTAAAGGCGTGCGCCACCAACGCCCGGCCCAATAAAACATTTTTAAAAAGTGTTTGAGGGTTGGCTTGAGAGGTGGTCTTGCTGTTGAACTGGCTTGGAACTTAAGATTCTTCTGATTCCACTTCCTGATTGAGGAGATTATAGGTGTGAGCTAGCATGTGTCTCAGGTGCACATTTCTGTGGCTGTCCTGTGACTGGAAAGGGGATGAATGCATAGGTGCATGAGTTCTGTCGATAGCAGTAGCTGGAATGGGCATGTTGGTGTCTTACATCTTTAACTGTGGTTCCTTTGCTCTCCTTGTCCTTAGCAGGTGTGTGTTAGGTGTCTTCTGTATACCATGTGTGAACGTTCAGTTTGCTGACCTGGAGGTGAGATTGATAGAGACCTTAGGAGTTAATTTAACTGTTGAATTGCACCAGGTATTGCTCTACATTTCAGGAACACAAGGCTGCATGGGCTTTTGTGTTTACTAAAAGGGAGCTTGAAGCAACCAAAGGTTTTGAGCAGAAGAACCACATGACCTTAATTGGCTTCTAAGATCACTCCGGCTGTTTTGTGGAGTTAGGGAAGATGCAGGAATGAGATATCACCTCATTGCAGGTGACCTTGTGGCACAGCTCTCCTTGGGTGGGCTGCAGAGCGGTGCAAAGCTTCCCCACATTCCCAGCTCAGTATGCAGTTGTGTGGACAGGGCGCATTGCAGCAGCTCAGAGTAGAAAAGATAGGTTCTTCCATTGCAGTCGTGCTTGCTGATTTCCTTCCTCATCTACGTTAGTGTGGAAGGAAATCGAATTACAGTTACAGACAGGGAAGGAACTGCTCTTGACTAGAGCAGAGAGTAAGTAAACCTTGGGAACCTAGCAAGCCTGAGCCTCGGCGGGAGTCACAGAGAGCCACTCCTCATTCCACTCTCTTCCGCCCTCTTCAGAAGTCTGGGAGAGGTTGGTGGAGGGAGAGGCACAAATGGGTTTGCTGTGCTTTGGGGTGTAGCAGAGAACATCAGAACTGAAATTACTTTAGAATTCACCAGGTAGAACTGTCTCGACTTTTAGGTTCAAATCTGCAAAGATGAGGTAAACAACCTCCCTAGAGTCCCTGCGGTAGGTTACTGGCACAGCGAGGGGTCCGCATGTCTCCTGCTTTGTCTCTGCTCTCAAAAGTTCAGTCTGTGTGTGAGTTGCCTTGGTTTTTGTAGCCCCTACCTGGTGCTCAGCCAGTAGTGAATGAACTCCAGCTGTGACTTTGGCAATTCCTGTGAATCTCAAGTCCTTAGAAGCAAATGTTGGCAAGGTGTTTCTGTTTCCTTTGTCTAGGATCAAGCTCTCCATACCAAGAACCGGGCTAAAACCAGACCACCGCTGTCCCTCCCAGGGTCCCACTGACCTCAGAAAGCCGCTACTGTAATCATGGGTAATATCTTTGGAAACCTTCTGAAGAGCCTAATTGGGAAGAAGGAGATGCGCATCCTAATGGTGGGCCTTGATGCTGCCGGGAAGACCACCATTCTGTACAAGCTAAAACTGGGAGAGATTGTCACCACCATTCCAACCATCGGTAAGGGCAAGCTTGTCTGTGGGCTGAGGGAAGGCTGGAGGCCTGCTCATGGATCTCCCACCTGGCTTGTTCTCCCCAGGCAAGTCCACACATTCCATGGGCCTCAGAGAGAGTGTCTGTTTAACTTACTGGCAGGTGCTGGAGCTGCCGTTTGCCCACCTGCCCTGGCCCTCCCTGATGCGGGAACTTCCGTAGCCTGGCACTCAACAGTTGCCCTCAGGCATTAGAGTTGGTTTGTTTCTCTGTGATGTTTGGAAAGCAGGTGAAGGGCTTTGATGTTCCTGCCAGAGGCCTGGAATTGCTTTGGTTTAGATCTTCAGTGGCGATCTTGGTTAAGACCTGCCTGCTCAGAGGAGAACATTTGCTAAAAATATGGGGCTGTGGTCATCATCCTGAAGCTTGGGGCTCCAGCACTGTGGCTCATGTCTCATTCTTCTCCCCGCTTCTCAGCTCCACGGCTTAGCTTAGATACATTTTAGTGATGAAGGGACAGAATAGAGTCGTGAAGGTTGACTCTCATTGCCCAGGCAGCTGTGACCTTCTCATCAGACATCATTTTTTTTGATTTCTTAGATTTTCCTGCGTGCGTGTGTGTGTATGTGTAACATATACTTACTTTTATGTGTGTGTTTAGGTTTTGCCTGTATGTATGTATGTCCCCATATACATGCATGCCTAGTGTCCATGGTACATAAAAGAGGGAATCAGATCCCCTGGAACTGGAGTTTTGGATGGTTGTGAGCTACTCTGGGTACTAGGAATTGAACCCTAGCCTTCTGCAAGAACAGGTGCTTTTAACCATTGAACCATCTTCCAGCTCCTTTAGATTTTCTTTTAGGCTCTCCACGTAAAGGATTACCTTTTTGTTGGTGTCTTGTCCAAAGCTGAGAAGAAAGAAATGGAAGGAAACTCACTGGGTGGTCACTATTTGTAAGTCTGGGGTTGGAGGCCAGTGACTATTGACATTTTTTCCCCCAAAGGGTTTAATGTGGAAACAGTGGAATATAAGAATATCAGCTTCACAGTATGGGACGTAGGTGGCCAGGACAAGATTCGGCCTCTCTGGAGACACTACTTCCAGAACACCCAAGGTATAGAAGACAAATTTCCTGGGGTTGGCATTGCTTTGCTGGGTTTGTGCAGTGTTGTGGGTAGCCAGCCCTTGCCCTGATGCAGCTCATGGAAGTGGAGAAAGGGGAACGTATTTGGTGGGTGTGGTGATGGAGAAGGAGACATCTGTTACCTCTGTGTGTTCCATGCTCTCTCTGCTTCTCTAGGCTTGATATTTGTGGTTGACAGCAATGACCGGGAACGAGTAAATGAGGCCCGAGAGGAGCTGATGAGGATGCTGGCAGAGGATGAGCTCCGGGATGCTGTGCTCCTTGTCTTTGCAAACAAACAGGTGAGATGTCTCCCTTTTCCTGATGTGGGAGAGAGCAACCTGACTGTAGACATTGTGGAGCCTTGGGGTTCATTGTACAGAAAGGCCCGTGACTACTGATGTCAGTTTGGTAATGTGGGAAATATAAGCAGTTGACTTCTTCGCGTGCCCCTTCCCTCGTCCCCCAACCCAGTTGTATTTAGCAGCATTTTAGTTCTCAGGATTAATGTGGTAGATAAGTCCCTTGAGGGTTTTTATCTTCCCTGCCGTGCACTATAGTGGACTTAACTTTTGGCTGTCTGAATCACGTTTATAACCCTCCTCATGAAATGGCTGTCTCCTTCACTGGGTCTGGAGTTCTGGGACTGTGAGGCCTGGAGTAGTTCCTTCAGCTCTTGAGATGAAGGAGAAGGTGGCAACGTATGTGCCTTTGTTAAATGGGTTCTCTAGAAAACTTCGCCAGATTCTAAGGTGTCTTTGTGTGTGTCTCCCTTGCACCGCAGGATTTGCCGAATGCTATGAATGCTGCTGAAATCACAGACAAGCTGGGGCTGCATTCTCTGCGTCACCGCAATTGGTACATCCAGGCCACCTGTGCTACCAGCGGGGACGGGCTCTATGAAGGATTGGACTGGCTGGCCAATCAGCTCAAAAACAAGAAGTGAGAGCCAGGCAGCCCTATCTGACTACCCCACCCACTCCTGACACGTACCCGTTGTCTCCCTACTCCCATCTCTCCCTTCCTTCCTCTTGAAAGTGTGGCCAAGGTCCTGGGTATCATGTCTACATGCCCAGCAAGAGCCTTGCCTCCTGTGCCTCCCTTCCTCCTTCCCTGTCCACTGACGTGGTCGGTCCCCAACTGCTGTCCTGATGATGAATCATTCCAATTTACTGGATTTAAAACAAATGAGGCTGTTATGGTTTCATGGGGTGGTCTCCCTGTTGGGTTTCAGGAGGAAGAGTGGGGTGTTCTCTATGTTTGCTGTTTGGCACTGGTTGCTGTGCTCTTGGCCTCTGAACCCCTTCCCTGTCTCCCCGGCCACTCTCCTCCCTGTCTTCCTTTCCTTCTACCCCCTCTCCTGTTCTACATGGAAATTGCACGGGCCTCTCTGTGTGTGCGTGCATGTGTGCGCCTGTATATACATGTATAGAGAGATATATATGTGGGAGTCAGGGGGAGGGAGTGGAGTGCAGCTCAGGGCTTGCAGCCAGGACACTGCCCAGTGGAGCCTGGCATCTGCCCCTTCTTTGTTGGTGAGATAAAGGGGAGATGTGGGTGGGTCCCATTGCTTTCCTCTCTGCAGGTGGTGTTCCTGGATGTTAGACAGATGGCGGACTCTGCAACCGTCTTCCTTATATTTTTTCTCCACCCTGTGAGCGCAGGAAATGGCATTTATCTCTAGATGACTGTTCCTAAGGAGATGCCATGCTACACTGCCTCGTTGGTAGGGAGGAGAGAGGAACCCACTCACTCTGATCAGTCCAGAGTGTTCTGTTGGTCCCCCTCCATCATAAGAGCTCAGAGGGAGATGGGTTATTGGGGCCTGCATGTTGAGGGGTGGAGTGTAGTCTGTTTTTCATCTTGTTCTTATTACTAGGAAAAGGTAAGACATGGAGCAGTCCTGCTCCTGCTTCTTGCTCAGGCTTCTGATCTTTGGGGCTGGGGCTCCATCTGTCCTTTTTCAGAATTTCTCACCTAGTAGTCAGCTGATGTGCTGAGGACTGACCAGGTGGGCTAACAAGGGCCGTGGAGCAGGGGCGACATAGCAGACCTCAGTATCAGCCCCGCTGCTCCAGGCCCTTTCTAGTGCAGACCAGCTAGAAGATGAGTCTCTGCTCTTGGCAGGCCTCAGTCTCTCCTTGCTGCCCTGTCTGCCTCCTTCCTGGCAGCTTTCCTCAACCTTCACACACTTGCCTGAATAGGTTCGGGGAGTTGGAGTGGAGGAGACAGGACCCTGTGTGGCTGGTGCTGGGACAGTGATCTGCAGGGACCTCCCTCCATCATTCTTCAGTTGTTCAGATGCTGCTGCTGCAGGTCTGTAAGAGGGCACTTATTCCTGAGGCTCTGACCTGGTCCTGATGTAGTCATTGCAGTGAAGCTGTGGCTGCTCTGTGTGTGGGCTCCTGTGTGTGCTGGCTGCGCCCTGAGCTCCAAACCAGCTGCCCATAACCTCTCTGCTAAGGTCAGGACCCTGGACCTTCTCCAGGAGGGCAGTTGTGAGCGCCACTCTGGCCAGGTCTCCTGCTAGCTTTGTCTTCAGCAGGCAGATGAGCTCCCCAGCTTACCCCAGCTGAACTGTGAGACGTTCCAGGGGTGTCCCCTCAGTGCACTTAGTGCTGTGTTACTAAACCCCAGATGCCACGTGGGTGTGTACTCTAGACCATGCGCGCGTGTGTTTGTGTGTGTGTGTGTGTGTGTGTGGTGGTTGATGTGTATGTGGGGGTGCTGGGGGTTCTGTTTCATTTTAAAATGGGTTCATCACTGTCACTCTGGACACCACCCTCCACACTTTCTTGACTGTTTCTTGATTTTTTTTCCCACCTCGGTTGCCACTCTGAATTCTGCTTTGCTTCACCGTTCATTCACCATTGCTGCTGCCTGTTTGTTTTTCTTTTCCTTGTTTTTGTCTTCTACTTGATTTTCTACTCTTTGTGATTGGAGGACTTTGCCTCTTTCTCTGCCACTCCCTCTGACCTTCCCTGCTTAGATGCTAGTTCCAAGTAGGTTTTGTACATTGCAGGCTTCGGCCCACTCCTCACCCCCTACCCCAGCATCTTGTTTTTCTCAGCCTCCTGGGACCAACCTGAGGCTGAGCAGGCTGAAGCAGCCTTGGATGTTGCCTTGGTGCTGCTCCAGATATGTCCAGCAGGGGGCAGGAACATCTCTGATTCCAGGGGGAAGTAGAGGCTTTCTACATTCCCATTCACCTAACATCTTTGGGGTCTGGGGGGTTCCATTCCATTCTGTAAACTCCCTCTCCTGCTTTTCTCAAGTTGGTTTAATTTTTGATCTTCGTTGTTCCAGCTTTCTTCCTGGGATTCCCTTCCTTCCACCTCCAGCGTTTGTGGTGTTACAGTGGTATCTACAGTTCGGAAGTGGGTTTTTCTTTTTCCTTTCTCTGGAATGTAGACTGTGTATGGTTAACAACTCACCTTCTCTATCCTTGCTCAAAAATGTGGGATAATACAATGGCTGTGACCCTGGTTGGAAATTAAACTTGTCTCATGCAGCTCTGGAGGGGCCCTTCATGCTGTGCAGCAGCCACGCGGCAGCGGGGACATCTGTTTCCGTTCCCTTCCACGCTGTTCTCTCTCTGCAGAGGTGGGAGGACGTGCTTCTGTGGGTGGAGAATAAGTCACGGAGGAACTTAGGTTTATTGGGAACACTGATTGTGAGTCCTTCTTCCCGTCACACCCAGAGGGAAATGAAATGAGTCAGGCAGCAGAGCGTGAGCCGGGACGGATGGACTTGTGAGCGAGCTGTAGTACCTCCTGCTGCTAGATCGCAGGCAGCGTTTCTCGCCTGTGGGGGTTGAGTGATCCTTTCACAGGGGTTGAATATCTGATAGCCTACTTAAATATTTATATAATGATTCATAACAGTAGCAAAATTACAGTTACGAAGTAGCAACAAAAATAATTTTTATGGTTGGGGGTCACCACAACTTGAGGGACTGTATTAAAGGACCATGGCTTTAGGAGAGGTGAGAAGCATTGCTTTAGAGACTAAAGCAATTGAAGGGCCCTGAACATGGAGGGCCCCTTATTTCCTATGTTACTCTTTCCAACCCTGAAGATTAGGTGACTGTAGTCTGTTTGTGGGGGGGGGGCCCCCCCCCCCGTGCATAGATTGACTTCTTATCACCCATCTAGACCTGGATTTGGGGCGTGAGTAAGCACACGGGGCAAACATCTGGGCGGTGTAAGCATGGTCTGGTTTTCAGTGCAGCGGCTCTGCGCAGCTGTGCCTGGGGTGTGTGGTTTCCCATCCCCAGTGCTGAGCTCCTCCAGAAACCCACAGAAGCCCTGAGGGGAGCCCCTTCCCTGTGAAGCTTACACCCCCTCCTTCTCCTTCTCCTCTCCACTGCTGTCACTGGCCAACTCCACACAGGACAGGGACGGTGAGCAGGGGTGCCCCTCCCTCTTGCTCCTTGCTTCAGTACTGACTTTGAGTTCCACATACTATGAAGTTCTAAATGTATACTCAGTTTCTTCTCCATTTCTTTATTTGCTAGTTTTCCTTCCAGCCTTTCTCTTGTTGCTGAGTCATCACCCTCAAGAATCAGTGCTTTTTGCCCGTGTCGCTGGCTTCCAAACCACTGAGCCACACAACCCTTCATCAGCCCTGTGTCTTTAAGCATTACTTACTTTCCTTCCTCCAGGCTCCCTCAGCTCATAAGTTAGGAACATCTTTCCCAAGTGCTTGTTTATTTATTAATAAATAGATCACTTTCTGACTGCATTTTCTTTTCATTTTTTATTTTATTTTAGTTTTTGAGACGGAGTTTCTCTGTGTAATCTTGGCTTTCCTGGAAACTTGCTCTGCAGGTCAGACTGGCCTAAAACTCTCAGAGAGCCACCTGTCTCTGCCTCCTGACTGCTAGGATTAAAATCGTGGTCACCACAGTGTAGCTTGCTGACTTCACATTTGTAACCCTCCTCCTGCCTTTGTCCCCCAAGTGCTAGATTCCCGGCATGTGCCTGTGAGCCTAGCCTCAGTGGTAATTTTTCATAGGACAGTAATAATAGAAGCTGGGGGTGGGGGTGCTTGCCTGTAATCCCAGCACGCAGAAAAAGCAGAGGGGAGGAGGATCTCCGAAAGTTTGAGGCCAGCTTGGTCTATATTTGTCTTATCTCCCCTCTCCTCCCTCAAAAAAGTAAATACTAAAAAGCAGTTCAGTTGAACGACATACTGGTGATACCAGAAAAACTTGGAGAAGCGGGTTCTTTCCTGTCCCTTAATCACTCAGACTCAAGGGAGGTAGAGGAGCCCTCTTGTTCTTGTCCAACCTATCAGCTCTGAGGGGATACAGGAGGAGGTGAGGGGAGGGAGCCTCAGGACAGATAGCCTACATGGCTTGTATGTTCATAATTTGGCAAAGAACCCAGACCCAAGTGATACTACTTCAGAATAATCTGGGTAAGGCAGCTTCCAAAATGAACTTGGAGGAATGGGCTTAGCCCAGCCTAGGTGGGGTGAAAGGAGAGCTGCCCCCTTCACAGGGATGTGTTTCTTTTCCGTGTGGTGTGGTGTCTGACATTTGTGGGGGCTTCTGCATCTACCCTCCAGTTCAAGCACACACGTTCAGTTAGATTAGAAAGTGAGCAGAAATGTATACCTTTCTCTGTATTTAGGTGTTTGTTTTTTATTATTATTATTTATTTATTCATTTATTCATAAAAAATTTCCACTTCCTCCCCTTCTCCCAATACCCTCCCATTCCCCCCACTCCCTCTCCTCCTCCCTCTCCAGTCCTAAGAGCAGTCAGGGTTTCCTGCCCTGGGAAGTTCAAGTTCCTCCCTCCTCCCTCCAGATCTAGGAAGGTGAGCATCCAAACAGACTAGGTGTTTGTTTAAGATGAGTTAAACCACTGTTTTCAGGGGGAGCTGGACATCTAAGTTCTGGAATCTTTTGAAATCTAGGGAATCCAAGCAGGATGCCTCTCCTTTCCTGCTGGTCAGTACAGGGCAGGCTATCATAGCACTTTGGTTCACTCTAACCCAGTAGCTGGAGAGGTCACTGGGGAATGGCAGAAGCCAAATACTTAACTTCCTTCACAGTTTTTCTAATTGGGTTTCCTGACCCTAATTGCTGAAAGGGGTAAGCATGACCCTGAGTTCGTGAGAGAGGTGCAGAGAGGGTTAGGGCCAAGGAAGTGGAACCATGAGCATGGCAGTGGGTGCAAAGTCAGCGAAGGCAGTGAGGGTCTGAACGGGAAGTGCTTGTGTGAATGTCACCCTGGCCACCAGTTGTAGGGCAGTGTCTGGGCTTCTGAGCTGGTTGTGGGAGTGGAAAGGACGCGGAAGGTAAAATGGCTGTGCCCTGTGTGTGGACTGAGCTTCCTCCCACTCTCCCCTCACAGGCCCCCTTCCTGAGAACTAGCTGGCAGGCCAGGCGGAAGGTTTTGAACTGCTTTTACCTGTGCCCTTCCCCCCACTCCTCCATTCTGTTTATTTTGAACTGGGCTGGGTGTAGCTTACTGATTGGTCACTTGCTTAGCGGCCCTGGTACCGCAGACAATCAACAACCATCTTGGCAAGGACTGTCCTAGGTCAGGGTCGAATACAGACACTTAAGGGACAGAAGGCTGAGCTTGTGGCCAGGAATTTACTCTGGTTTCCAAATGCAGCATAAACGACCCTACCGCTACAGGTTACAGGTAAAGGGGAATATGTGTTGTGACTCGCCACGCCTTGCATGGATGGGGTGATGGATAGTGCCCCACAGGGTTTGGGTGCTGACTGTCACTCTTGGATGATGCCGTGTGTAAACTGTACCTAAAAGGGCCGGTAGAGCATGACTTTAGATGTTCAAGGCTCTGGGTTCCATCCACAGTACCAGAAAAAAACAACACAGTAAGGATGCGATTCAGTCCCCAGTGTCGGAGGGGCTGTGGGAAGCAGTGCCCCGCTTACACCTGGCTGCGGTGTGGGTGAGCTGAAGGCCCTGCAGCAGAGGGAATTGTGGGAAGCAGTGCCCGGCTTACACCTGGCTGCGGTGTGGGTGAGCTGAATGCCCAGCAGCAGAGGAAATTGTGGGAAGCGGTGCCCGACTTATGCCTGGCTGCCGAGTGGGTGAGCTGACTCTGGACACTTCCAAGGCTCAGGCTCTCCCGATGTAGTTTTCCACTAGGCAATTTCCTGCCTTTCTCAGAATCACAATTCAGTCCATCGGAAGTGCTTCTTCCCTGGCCCTTCCTGGGGTATTTCAGTAAGTTGTCCTCAGTGGAGTATTTTTGGGGGGGGGGTGCTGGTGGCAGGGTCTCATTCTTGGGCCTGCTGGCCTGGAGCTTGATCCATAGAGTGTTTGTCTCTGCCAGTCTCTTCAGAGATTAAAGGTACGCCACCTGTCCAAGCCCTCCAGGGGGCTACTGTTGAGACAGGCTTCCCCTTTTCTTCCCACCTCCCTCCAATCATGTGCCTTACAGAGCCTCGGCACCTAGACGGCCTGTGTGCCACTGCCCAGTGATGTACTCACACACACAGCCTTCCACTCTCGCACACTCAAGGGTCTCCTACTTTCCCTCCACACATCTGGCCCTTTGCCTTTAACCCTCTTTTCTCACGTACTTAGAAATCCATGTTAAGGGGCTTCTTAACATGTAGTTCAGGTGGTACAGTGCTTGCTTGTTATAACCACCTTACCCGAGATTAAACACTTGGTATGTAGGTGACAGCAAGAGGAGCTGGAGTTCAAGGTCAGCCTTGGCTGCGGGACAGTTTGAGACCAACCTGGGCTCCAAAAACCAACCTGAGACTCTAAAAAGCAAAACAAGTACTACTTTAAGATGCAGCTCAAGTCTCACCTACAGAGTTCATGACCTTTACAGGGTCTTTTTAGTCTTCTGCCACGGTTCCATTGGCTTTGGCAGCACACTCATGAAATAGCCTCTACAGGCTCAAATCAGCATTTCTTGACCTGTGGGTTGTGGTAACTGCATATCAGATATTAAAGTTAGGAAGTAGCAATGAAATAATTTTATGGTTGGAGTCACCGCAACATGAGGAACTGCATTAAAGGCTGCAGCATCAGGAAGCTTGAGAACTGCTGTCTTATGATTCGGTTCACTCACATGTTTTATTTTTATAGCTAAGCAGTTTTCATTGTCAGTGGTCCAGATAGTATGTGAGCATGCAGATACTGGGCATACATTTGGTAGGACAGCACGTTGTACCTGTCCCCTTCACTCTTCCCACTCCCATCAAAAAGCCTACCTATCCTCAGCCATTTTTGGGTGCATCCTTTGAATTCCTTTTATTTTTTTTTTTTAAGAGACAGAGTCTCAGCCAGGTGAGGCGGCATATGGCTTTTCAATTCCAGCACTCGAGGCAGAGGCAGGCAGATCCATGTGGTGTCTAGACCAGCTTGGTCTACATAGCTTGAGCTCCAGGCCAGCCAGGACCACATAGCCTGTCTCAAAGCAGAAACCCCCAGCACTTCTGACACTGCCTCTTGGGAGGGTGCGGGTCAACAGTGAATGGCTCAGAACTCTGAGGGTTGCCAGGCTCACACTCCCCCTCAAAATGGGGGCAGGGCGGCAAAGGGAAATGGAAGGAGGGTCTTGTGTATCCCAGCTGGCCTATGAACTCAGGTAGCTGAGGATGACTTGGACTTCTAAGCCTGCCTCCTCCTCCCAAGTGCTGGCATTACAGCTGTATGCCTGCCACCAAGCCCAGTGACTGCAGTGCTGTTGAACCCAGGGTTTTATGCAAGCCCAGCCCTTGCTCTATGTCTAAACATGCACATATTTGGGAAGGAGTTAAAATACGAGTTCACATCACTTGTGCTATTTTACTTCTTAAATTGAAGCTTATATATTTGTCTTAGGAATTTTCAAAGTATAGTTAGATATTTCAATGGTTTTTCATCTAATAGTTCAACAATTTATTTAAAATAAATCATTTGGCTAGATGTGGTTTGAATGCTTGTAATGCCAGCATTTGGGAGGTGGAGGAGGGCTGGAGTTCAAGGCTGAGCTCGTGAGATGCCAGACCCCCTGAGTTCTGATGGGACCTGATGCAGTGGAACAGCTCTCCCCAAGTTGTCTTCCGACGCCACACATACCATGGCACCCACCTCCCTGTAAACACATGGCACAAATAATTCTCAATACATGTCATGGCACATGCCTGCCTGTAAACATGCCGTAAATAAATGAATTTTTTTTAAAGGGGGTTTAAGGCAACTTTGCTTTGAGGCCAGGTTACAAGAAACCGTTTGAAAAGTCAAATAAAAAACTTGTCCAGTATCATGCAGCTGGTACCTAGGGGGCTCTAGGCATGTCCTACTTTGTCCTAACTGTGTGCAAACTTCTTGACGGAAACAGAAGAGAGAAACAAGTCATGCACAATAACTACATAGGAGAAAACTTCAGAAGCTTAACTAGGAAAATTAGTACTTGGAAAAAGTTAAACATCCTGGAGGGTCTAGCACAGGTAAGGGGGACACTGAGCTGAGAACACACACATAGACTCATCTGAAGCCAGACCATAGTCCAGAAGCAGGGAAATCTGATGCGATTAATATGTATTTACGTGTCAGGCATGAACACTGAAGATATAAAAGCGAGAGTCACGAAGCTGTCTCTTGTCCCACTCTCCAGAGCCAAGACACACCTGTTATCTCAGCACTTAGGAGTCTGAGGCAGGAGGAACTCAAGTTCAAAACTTTTGGTGACATGGCAGGTGACATGAATGTATGTAGCAATGTACAGAATGATCTAAAGAGGGGAGTTTGGGAATGCAACTTACCTTTAAAAGACAAAAATATGATAGAACTTTTTGTCTCCATTAGAAAGTGTTTGGTGGTAGGTAATCCAGGACTAGCATGGTGGGTCTCCACTTAGCAAAGACCTAGACTTCCATCTTTGTGTTTTACCACCTAGGACCTCCCTTCCATCATCACGGTCTGATATGATTGCTACATCCTGTGCACTTTCTGGGCACAGAAAGAAGGGGGACCGGTTATGAGAGGAGTAGAGCATGAACTGATATGGGTCCTAGCTTGGTCAGTGCCTTTTGAGGAGTCAAACAGTGCCTTAAACATGTCCGTTTAGGACTTGTTACCCGCTGCTGTTTCCAAGAGCAATTTTGTCGTGTAGTTTTGTATTTGCCCAAATATATATATACATATAGTAAGAAACACAGAATTTTCTTTTCTTAGTGCTGGGGATTAATTTCCAGACAAGCATTTTACTGCTGAGCTATATCCCTAGCCACATGTACAAATCTTAGGCATACATTTGGTAGGTTTTAAAAAGTGAATCCATCCATGTAATCCCATATCCTCAGTATGTACAGCATTTCCTCAGCCCCAGGAATTTCTGCTGGCTGTCATTTTGATTAATTTTTGAGAAAAAGTTTTATAAGGCTGGGATTATAGATGTGCATCACCATACCCCACTGTACAGTGAGGTTCTGTGTGTTTGATAAAGATAGTTTGACTAGGTAGTCCTAGGTGGCCTGGAACTCGAGAAATTTGTCTGCCTGTTTCCTGAGTGTTGGGATTAAAGGTGTGCACCACCATACCTGGCTGGCAATGAGTTATTTTTTTAAAGATTTATTTGTACTTATGTGTATGAATGTCTGTATATCTGTATGCCATGTGTGTGTGGGTTCCTGTGGTGGCCAGAAAAGGTGGAGACCTTGGAGCTGCAGTTACAGGCATTTTTGAGCCCTTTGGTGTGGGTTCAGGGAGTCGAACTGTGGTCCTTTGGAAGAGCAGCAAGTGCTCTGGACCACTAGTGTGTTCGTCTCTCTAGACCATGACATTGAAGGTTCTTATTTATTTTTGTTTTTTCAAAATAATTCCTACGTTAGGGACATCAACATCAATCCAGTGCCTGGACTGAATCCCCCAGTACCACAAAACAGAGAGAAAATGGGAGCTTAATTAGCATGGGCCTCAAAATGGAGGCACTGGAGAGGCTGCGGAGAGAGAACCCGAAGGAGACCAGTTAGAAATTTGAGATGGAAGAAGTCACAGAGTACTGATAGAGGAGAACCGTCGGAAAGGCCAGGGCAGGAAGGGCAGGTTGTTCAAGGAGAACCGTCAAAAAGGGCAGGTTGTTAGAGGAGAGCCTTCAGAAAGGGCAGTTGTTCAAGGAGAACCGTCAGAAAGGCCAGGGCAGGAAGGGCAGGTGGTTCCAAATAAGAGGAAGTGTGTGTTGGGTGTGTGTAGGCTGAGGGACTTACCACACAGGTGCAGTTGTGTCTAAGAACAATATCAGTGCTAAAGACGACCATGAACCAAGAAACGGCCTGAGTGCGGCATGGAACGACCCCATGACAGCTTTTGAGTGACCGGGATCTAGGCACCACAGCTTAAGTTTTCAGGAAGGGTTTGAATCATGAAAAGGGACACTGGTAAGACCGCCTACGATTACTAGAACCACTTCTAAAAACCGAAGCCCTTGCACAAACACAAGACGGCAGCACGCTGCTGTTGTGGAAAGGGTGTTGAGGGAAAACAGGAAGGAAAAGGTCAGTGACTCCAGGACAGAGGCTTTCTGAACGTAGCTGAGGGCAGAGCAACCAGGAGAGGTGAAGAGTTGGCTGTCTTGGACACCTGCCTCTGCCAGCTTAGTGGGAGGGGACATGTCTTCGAAGAACAGAGAACAAACGCAGTCTTGTGCTTGAATCCTGTCGGTCACCAGTTGGCATGATGACCTCCTTGGGTAAGTTCCTTGGCTGTAAAATGGGAATAATTGTGCCTCCCGTGATTCGAAGGTTAGAGACTAACACCCTCTTTACAGTGAGTATTGAAATGGCAAATAGGTGCTATCACATGACCCCCGTCATGGGACGGAAAGACCAACAGATGGGTCAGAATTCGCCACCTCGGATCACAGGGTTGGGAATGCTGGCTTCTTCCCTCCAGGAGGTGGGGACAAGCAGGGGGAGGAGGAGCTCTCTCCTTGCGACCCGCCCATACCAGTCTGGCCTGGAGCTGAGGTGTCCTGGTCGCCTGCACGCGCACAGCCTGCCCTGGTGCCCCGGTGTCCCAACCAGGTCTGGTCATGTCCCTGCGCCCCTTTCTCTGGCCACTCCGGCTGCTGCTGCTGCTTCTGCTAAATGGGGCGGTGTGCCGAGCTGAGGCTGGGCCAGAAACCGAAAGTCCTGTCCGGACCCTTCAAGTGGAGACGCTGGTGAGGAGACTGCCGCGCCACCTCCCCAAACCCTCCTTCTCGCCCCCCCTCCCCGCCACCCTTCAAGGCTAAGGGATCGTGGGGGAGCACGAGGGGCTCTAAATGAACCTGTGAACGAAGAGAAGTGAAGGAACTGAGTTGGGGGAGAAGATGCTGGGTCTCGATGTAGTAACAGGGTTTTAGGAGGAGCAGCTTTGACCCTTGTAGTCTGATCATAGGTACAGCCCCCTGAATCGTGTACAGAATCCGCTGCCTTTGGAGACACGCTCCACATCCACTACACGGTGAGGGGCCTGGGGGGCCGGGGCGTGGTCTGGGAGGGGGCGGCACCCGAATGAAACACGTCAGCTTTGGCTTGGACACGTGGCAAGCTGTGCGACAGAACTGAGTCCTAGGGTCCGCTAGCACGTGGGGGCGGGAGTGCAGGGTGTCCTCGCCTGCTTCTTTCTCCTTCCTGTTTTCCCGCCAGTTACTCTCCAGCACTGAGAAGTGAAGGGTGGAGAGATCTCCAAGAAGTGTCAGCCCTTCGGGGCTTCCTCTTCCTTTTTGCTCCATGGGAGTGGGGATGCGAGAGGAGGGCAGGATGCAAAGCAGTTATGAGGGCTGCCGCCATCCCATCAGGCGGTCCCACTGTGTGTGGCCTGCTGGAAGGAAAGATGGGGTCAGTTCTTGCTCTTTGTCTTTAGGGCAGCTTGGTAGACGGACGCATTATTGACACCTCTCTGTCTAGAGATCCTCTGGTGATAGAACTTGGCCAAAAACAGGTGATTCCAGGTATGTCACCTGCACCTTTGTCTGCTTCCTAACCTAAGCCCTTGCGTAGTGCCTTGGCTGTCTGAGGTAAGCTGGAAAGGCTCCTAGAACGAGTAAGACCCTAAGGATCTTCAGCGGCCTTGGGTTCAAATTCATCACTGGGGGCTAACAGTTTAAGAAGTGGAGTAAAGCTCGCTTGAGGACACTCGATGGGGTGTCTCTGATTTTCTCCTTGGGTGGTGTGTAGCTTCTAGTTCAGTTGTGTCTTCTTCCTCAAGGTCTGGAACAGAGCCTTCTGGACATGTGTGTGGGGTGAGTATCTGAACAGGGGTGGGCCTGACTACCCCTTTGCCTGTGTGGAAGCTTTTTCTGCTTCCCACATCTCCAGAAGGAGGACATTATAGAATAAAGGGGCTCTGACTTCACACTGGAGGGGTACAGGTCAGCGGGACCCCTCAGGGCACCTCTCTGTCGGTTTTAGGGGGGAATTGAGTTGTGTAGGGTGATTGGTACCTTTACTGGTCAATCTGTTAGGTGAAAAAATTCACATTTTGATGTCACTATCTGAGGTGGGAGGAGCTTCTGGTGGTGCTGGGCCAAGGTTGCCAGCTCACCTCTCCTGCCTGCCGCTCATTCCTCCCTCAGAGAGAAGCGAAGAGCAGTCATCCCTTCTCACTTGGCCTATGGAAAGCGAGGGTACCCGCCAGCCATCCCAGGTAATTGAGTAGGTCTTTTCTCCCAGCCATCAAAGCAGAGCCCCGAGAGCCACACGCACTGCTCTGTCTAGAACTTGAGAAAGTCCAGATCAAATTTGAGGAAAGAAGTAGCTGGGACCCTCTCCTTCTGACCCACCCGCTCTCTCCAATAGAGACTGCAGACAACCTGTTAGGGCCATCTGGCTTGATCATAGGCAGCTCGTGACTTTTGGCACCTGCCTGAGCCACGTGGGTCTTGCTGCCTACAATACTTATCCCAGAGGGCTAAAGTAACCCAACACAAACCAAAAGGTGACCTCCAGAGCCCTCACGTAGAATGGGTAAGGAGGTGGCCCTGGCTGCTGGTTCCTAGAACTCACCTTCAGGTACTACTGCTGATACCTGTTCTGAAGGGCAGAGATCAGACAGATTTTCCGATAGGTATCTCTTGCTTTGCATTAGAACACGTGTTCCACTAGGTAAAATGTGATCTGCTCCACAGAATTCTGGGGACGTGATATGCTAGTGCAGGCTTTTAGGGAGCCCTGAAAAGAGGGTGGGGAGAACCAAGCAAAATCTCTCTCTCTCTTTTTAAAAAAGATTTATTTATTTATTTATTTATTATGCATTTAACATTCTGCCTCCATGTATGCCTGCATGCCAGAAGAGGGCGCCAGATCTCATTACAGATGGTTGTGAGCCACCATGTGGCTGCTGGGAATTGAACTCAAGACCTCTGGAAGAGCAGTCAATCCTCTTAACCACTGAGCCATCTCTCCAGCCCCCAAAATCTCTCTTAATAAGCAAGTGTGGCTGTTGCACTCAGGAGGCAGAGGCAGGTGGATCTCTGTGGGTTCGAGCCCAGCCTGGTCTACATAGTGAATTCCAGGACAACTGAGGCTACAGAGTGAGATCCGGTCTCAAAAATAAAACACAACAATTAAAAAAAAAAAAAAAACCTCTTAGCAAAACTCTCCCCATTCCCAGTGCTGCTTGTTTGCTTCATTTGAAACTGTCTGACTCCTGCCCCCCTCAAGTGCGTCTCTCCTGTTTCCCAGCCCTTCTTTGAAACTCCTCTAAGAATTGTATTGTATGTGCTCATCAGTTGCTGGAATTTTTAAGGATATCTGCTTTTATTCCAGTTAATTATAGTTCTACAAAATCCTATCCATGTGACTATTTGGAAATGGGATCCATCTGGTACAGAGAAGACTCAGTGCATGTAAATGCTCACTTGTGGGGCCAGACAGATTCTCAGTGGTTAAGAGCACTGGCTGCACTTGAGGACCCAGGGTCAGTTCCCAGCACCCATGTGGTGACTCACCACCACCTGTAGTAGTTCCCGGGGAAAGTGACCCCCTCTCCTTACGCTACATGGTACACAGACATACATCAGGCAAACTACTCATATCCATAAAATAAAAACAAATCTTTAAATAAATAATGCTCACTTGTAAATGTGAAAGAACCTGCAAGTTTCCCATGCACAGATTTCCTGTGCTGTCATTGATTCCAAGCCACATGTTTTGTTGTAGTTAAGGTCAACATGTGTGTCCTCAGCCTGCTCCTAACCCTCTTCTGCCTTTTCTGAGGGAGCCCAACCCCACATTTCAGATTGCCAGAATCAGTTATTTTCTACAGCCTACCCTGATTTAATCCCAGTTCAGAGCTCTGGATGCATCACAGCAATTTTTAACACCCCCAAGCCTCTCCAGTGGAAGCAGTGGTGCGGCTTCTAACCCCTCCCCCCACCCTCTGCCTCTCCAGTGGATGCAGTGGTGCAGCTTTTAATACTCCCCCCTCTGCCTCTCCAGCGGATGCAGTGGTCCAGTTTGATGTGGAGCTGATTGCATTGTTTCCAGCCAACTACTGGCAAAAGCTGCTGAAGCGCTTTTTGCCTCTGGTAGGCATGACTATGGTGCCGGTCCTCCTGGGTCTGATCGGGTATTACCTATACAGAAAGGCCAGCAGACCCAAAGTCTCCAAAAAGAAGCTAAAAGAAGAGAAACGAAACAAGAGTAAAAAGAAATAAAATAGTGATCTTTAACAAAACTTTGTATTCTTCGCTTGATTCTACTACCCCTTTTTTCTTTAGTTTTTTTACTTTTTACTGTGTGTGTGTATGTGTGTGTGTGTTGGCTTGAATGTGGAGATCAGACAGCTGACAACTGTGAAGCTGGCTCTCCCAGAGACTGACCTGAGCTCATCTAAGTACAGAAACAAGTGCTTCACCTGTTCAACCATCTCTGGTACCCCCTTTTCTTCAAAGATGGGTCCTTGCATTTGTAGCCCAAGTTGGCCTCATACTCATGAGCCTCCTGGCTAGGCTGCAACTATGGAGACGCATCAACACACTCTGCTTACTCAATGCTTTGAGGCTGCTTTCTTTTCTTCTTTTTTTTTTCTTCTTCTTCTTCAGTTTTTGAAGACAGGGTTTCTCTGTAGCTTTGGAGTCTGTCCTGGAACTAGCTCTTGTAGACCAGGCTGGCCTCGAACTCACAGAGATCCGCCTACTTCTGGCTCCCAGTGCTGGGGTTAAAGGCCGCACCACCACCTCCTGGTGAGGCTGCTTTCTTGGGTAGAAAAAAGAGCACTGTGAAGCTGGATCTTGCCTGTGGTTGAGTAACTGGAGGCCTTGGAGCACACTTCTTCCTCTGGTCTGTTCTTGCTGTCCTAATTTACCCCAGGAAAGGTTTTGAATCTGCTTCTGGGTCCTTGGAGTATATATTTGGCTCCCATAGTGCCATGATGCTGAGGAGGAAACGTATTTCTAGGCATTCTTTCCCTGGGACCAGAATGTTCCTTGTATGGTAATATGGCAATGGTAATAAAGATCTTACAAGGGCTGAGAATAAGGCTCAGTTGGTAGAATGCAAAAAACCCTGAGATCAATCCGCAGCACCAATAAAACAGGTGCATGCCTGTAATCCCAGAGGATCAGGAGTTCAGAGTCATCCTCAGCTACACAGAGAGTTTGAGGCCTACATGAGACCCTAATTTTTGTTTTTGTTTTTAAAGGATCTTATAAATTCTTTTGAAAGAATAATTTGTTAGAGCTGGAAAGATGGCTCAGCAGTTAACCTCTGCTCTTCCAGAGGACCCAGGTTCAATTCCCAGCACCCACATGGTGCTCACAACTGTCTGTAACTCCAGTTCCAGGGGATCTGACAACCTTCATGCAGATACACATGCAGGAAAAACACTAATGCACATAAAGCTAAAAATAAATCGTGAAAAAGTGTATTATTTAAAAAAGGATAATTTATTGGTTATACTGCATGGGATAGTGGCAGTCAATAGCTGAAGTACTGTCTGGAGCCTCCATCTAAATTTGTAATACCAAAGCACTCAGGTTTCAAAAAAAAAGTCTTGGGTTCCTTGGATCACAGGGTATGGGAGACAACGTGGGCTGCTTCGATGATGTTGTAGGTGGTTGGAGGCCCTCTGTCACCTGACTGGGCTGACTGGGCAGGTGCGGACAGCTGGGGCAGGTTGCTTCTGTGGTTTACTATGAAGAGCGGGTTGAGCTGGCTCAGCACTTCATCGCTCACGGAGATACCATCCAGGTACTGTTTGAGCATCTCCCTCAGCTTTCCGCTGATCTCCAGCAGCTGTACACGTCTGTGCTGCAGACTCAGCACCTCCAGTTTCACCTTATTGTATCTTTTCCAGAAGTTCTCCATCCCTGAGTAGTCCGCCATAACCTGAGCGTGGAGGCAGAGGAAAGAGGAGTGCGGTGGTCCCCTTGAGCAAGTGCTGCCCAGCCCCCACCCTCCCCGTCCTTACCTTGGCCAGTTCCTCTGTGAGGTCTTCTTGGTTCTGTCTCTCCACTTCCTCCTGCTCCATGGGAGTCAGTACTGAGGAATAGAAAGGCAGGACTTTTTCTTCCTCTGTTTCAAATTTCCTACAGATTTCAGCAAGTTTAAGGATCTTTTCACCCTGTTGGGAAGGAAGAGGCGTGTTAGGGAAAACAAGATGGATCCCCTGCTTGAGTCCAGGAGAGCGCGCCAGCAACAGGAAGCCCAACTCTGGCGGAGCCTGCCATGCACCAAGCTCTCCCCCAGCAGTTTATGTCCTCACGCAGCACGGCTCAGTAGCACATCGTTTTCTTTTCAGCCAAGAAAGGCGTTTCCTGGGATGAGAAAACACACATGCAGCAGACACACAAGGGGGATCTTGGGAAGCTGGAAACCCCATCTTTTCTGGAGGCCTGGGGGTTGTGAAGCTTTAAAGAGTCTTCCTTCCCTACTTTAGGCTTGAAGTCAAATAGGAGGGTTGATTGGTCTGCAAATGTGTGAGAGAGATGGGTCCTGATCAGGCCTTGAACTTAGGCCAATCCATTGGCAGGGGGCCTGCAGTGGGAGGCAAAAGCTGCCAGGCTTTTCTCTCAGGAGGTTGAGGAAGAAGTGGCCATCTTGAACATCCACCACCTTTGTTACCTAGTGTGGCTCCTCTTTCCTATGGGGAGTTTGTCCAACTCCTGGTCTCTCGTCACCCCTGTCTCAGAGGTCAGCCTAAATGCTCTTAGGGTGTTTAGGGGTGTTGACCACTGCTCTCAGCTGCTTCAAGCTGACAAAAGGTCAACATTGGGGGGCCAGCCTCAGAGGAAGGTCTATCTAAGGGGCCATAATGAAACTTAACCTATCTATGGTAATGATCCAGAGCATAAGACAGCCATTTGGTGACAGTGTTTATCTTTGGAGCTTGTCATACGACTGAAAAGTAGCATCTTGATGAGTTGGTAGGCCTCAAAAGAAATCTAGAGATTAGGTCCCAAAAGGATACTGTCTTCAGAAGAAATCCAGAGACAAACCTCCCAAAATGATGCAGTCTAGAAATAATATAGTCTGGGGTCCTAATTGGTTCGTTTCCTCTACTAGTTAAAGGATTAAAAGGCAGGAAAAACCCGAGAGACATCAGGTAGTATTACTATGTCCAGGGGCCTCATCTCAGCCCCTGGCACCCATCTTTGGAATGGAGCAGGAACTCCATTTCGAGCCCCCTCCCCTGGGAGTTGCCTAGGTCTGGATTTCACCTCCGGGGGAAAGTCTCCCAAGCAGTGACCCCTCCCCAGGGAGGGTCAGGACCACTCCCACAGGCTACTTAGGCTGCCCCCCAGAGAATGAACATGTGGTCTCCCCTTCTCTCTCTTCCCCTCGCCATGCTTTCCTGGTGCCACCCTGGAGTGCTGCATTAAACATGGACATCTTTTATTCAATCTAATTTGGTCTGATTGGAATTATTCGCGTCGGCAGAGAGGCTCATCTAAGAAATATTCTAACAGGTAGCAGCAGAGAATCTCAAGCTCGTGGAACCGCAGAGTCACAGACAGAATCAGAAGCTGGAGAGGAAACCTCATACATCAGACACGCAGAGAAAAAGACCCTGTGCAAAGAAAAGTGCGGCTTGACTCGGGAAGCTGAAAAATCCCTGTTCATTTAAAAAAGAGTATCGAGTAAGAAGGAAGGAAGGAAGGAAGGAAGGAAGGAAGGAAGGAAGGAAGGAAAGAAGGAAGGAAAGCTAACACAAACATCCACTTAATGAGGAGGGAGGAGGGAGCCCTGCCCCATGTTTCCTGAATCCCTTTTGCCTCCAGCCAGGTTTCTTGGTTTTGTCCCTTTTACCTTCTCCACGACCTTTTTCAGGTCCTTGAGGGTGGCATTACTTTCCAGGGTGAGCTTGACTAAGTTCTCCTGGGACACTCCCCGAGCCTGCGTCCTTTGGGCCTTCAGTTTTCGCAGCTGTACGTGGACCAGCTCCTTGTCATTGCGAATGCATTGGTTCTGCCATTCACTTTCACGACTGTGGGCTATGATCTTCCCTTTCAAGATGCCTATGGCCTCCTAGAGGGAGAGCAGGGACAACTGACAAAGGCAGTTCAAGGACAGACTGAGGACTAAGAGCAGAGCGTCATCTTCACCCAACCAGTGAGAGACCCGAAAGAATTTGGGAAGGCAATGGACAGATGGGTGTCTCCAAGTGAGCACTGACCTGCAGCTTCTGGATTTTTTTCATCTGCATTTCAATCTCTTTGGAGCTTTTCTCGTCCTTCACCTTCAGAGTCTCAAAGGCAATCTTCCGGTCCTCCGTGGCATCAGTATAGTTCTTGAGTGCATCCTGGAACCTTCTCCACAGATCCTCCACTATGTTCTCCAGTTGTAGACGAAGAAAGTGCTTCTCTTCTAAATTCTAGGGAATGTGTCCCAAATACCAAATGCTTAGAGCCACCCTCTTAGTGGCCGCTCATGCCTGCCAGCAGCCTTACCCTCGGGAACTGTTAGGAGCGTTTAGTGAATTATATTCAGAGTGTGGGGCATTGTGACCCAGACAGGAAAACGTGGGGGTGGGCCCAGCTCCATGAGAATGATGCCAATTAGAAACAGAATGAGGAGCCAAGCAGAAGAGACACATCTCTGTGAGTTCAAGGCCAGCCTGGTCTACAGAGCGAGTTCTAGGACAGGCTCCAAAGCTACACAGAAACCCTGTCTTGAAAAGCCAAACCAAACCAAACAAAAACAGAATGAGGCCCAGTGTTCCAAATCTCAACTTTTTTTTTTTTTTTCCTTCTGGAGACAGGGTTTCTCTGTGTAGCCCTGGCTGTTCTGGAACTCTGTAGACCAGGTTAGCCTCAAACTTGAGAGAGATCCTCCTCCCTCTGCCTCCAAAGTGCTGGGATTAAAGGCGTGCGCCTTTATACCATTCAGATTTTGTAACTTTTTAAAGTGAAATTGATAGTTTGGATTTTCATGTGAAATTTTTTCAATTTTCACAAGTAGGAAATTATTCAAACTGTAAAGTACACCACTGGCTAAATTAAAAGCAAGGGTTGGGGGATGGAGTTTAGGTAGAATACTTGCCTAGCATTGAGTCAGGCTGGATGTGATGGTGAGTGCCCATTACCCTACTTGGGAGGTGGAGGCAGGAGGATCACAAGTTTAAGGTAAAAGTGAAGTTCCAGGTCATGCTCCACCACATAGTGAGTTTAAGGTCAGCCTGAGCTAAGGAAGATGCTGTCTCAAGTATAAGTTGATTGATTAAAGTTAAACCAAGAA